AAAAAATTACTTATCCCGGCATACCTGGTGTCCGCGAGTCTAGTTGATGTGAGAGTGGGCTTGCAATGACCGGGTCACATCTACTGAAGTTGGAGGGAAGACACCGTTTCTAGGTCAAGGAGGAAACGCCTCATGGAAGGAACATGTGTACACAGTGACTGGCTCGGTGATCACTGGTTGGAACAGGATTGGAAGACCTGAACTTAGTGAGTGGCATGGAGAAGACGCGATTGCTTTATGACACCTGAGGCCCTGCAACACGCCACTGTATCATCAAGGAGCAGCCCAGGAACTATGGGAACCTCGCACCATCAAGGGACAGGCATCGTGAGCAAGAATGTTGAAGGTAGATAATTTTTTCCCTCCCTTTACCCCTTGCTGATTAGGCTAAATACAGTATCGGTATATTTATTAGTATATTAGTGTTAGGATAGGCTGCAGGGATGCTAGTATTTACGACTGTTAAGGAAGGCAATGTGTGGACGATGTGGCAGTTGGAGAGGAGAAGGTCGACGTTGAAGAAGTGGCCCCTCACTTGAGAGGGTGTGAGACCACCTTTTAAATCTGCCCATCTGACGAAGTTGGCAGAGGTCATGAGAGGAGAGTTGCCGATGAACTCCAGACTATTTATTCCATATATGTCCATTTATGTACCATTATTATTTATGTGTTCATGTAGCTTTTTGTTAGTAAATGTCATATATTTTTACTGATGTGTTTGAGTGTGCCTCCATATTATCTCTACGAGCATACACGAGTGATATTGTAACCCCCACCAAGTAAACAGTAAGATTTTATATGGAAATTTCCTAGCGGCTGGTGGTGCTAGAGCAACACAGACATTTATAGAAGTGTACCCAAGGCTGGTAGTCCTATTTCAAGCAACACTTTGACATCAGGCAGCATAGTACATACCCACTGAACTGCATAGCTGGGGTGCAGAGATATTAACCCAGCTGGTGATCTTGTTAGGCAGTATAGAAACGCAGGTGTGGAAGAGAGACCTGCGACCTTTTATAATGGCAGGCAAGACTCGGAAGTGCTGTTGAAGATACGCCCGAGTCTTCCTTCACTCCGTGGGGCAAGGCCGGAATTGCTTGTAGCAGTTCCTCCGTGGTTGATGGGGAACCAACTATGGTTTGGTCACCATAAGTGAAGGGCTCCCAGGGTGGATCAATGGCACCTAGGTGGTGTGAGCATAGACCTGCAGTGGTGGGCATTACGTGGTCCTCACCTTTGGGACCAAATGACTTTGGTGAATTACATGAGTCAAAGAGACTGACCATTCTTTCTCCTGAACCCCCTAGCATCCCCCCTTTGCCCACCCCTCATAACAATACACAGGTTAAATACAAGTATTTACATGTTTTGGTCACCATAAGAAACAACTAAGTTGGTATAGTGAGTCAAAAAGCCACAAAGAGTGGCCGCCGCACACCAACCAGCCACTAACTGCCTCTCCCCTTCCTAACCTCATTCCCCAACATTCTCCTCCCACCATACTGTTTTTGCTTTTATTCACTATATACAGATGTTATATATAAGTATCTTCATCTTTTGTTCACCATAACTGAACAGCTAAGCTTGTATTGTGAGTTCAGGCAATAAGAGACATAGCTACACACACACACAGTCAGCTGGTGGCTGCCGCCCTCACTGGTTTAAGGCAGGACGCACTAATATTTCTCCTCCAACAATACTGTTTGTGGTGTTATTACACTATATATACACACACATTATATATAAGTATCTGCATGTTTTATTCACCATACCTGCACAAATAAGCTGGTCTGGTGCCCAAAAACCATCGTGGCCACCAGTACACAACATGACATGTCATTAGATGACACATTCCCTCACCAAAATGACTGCTCCCAACATACTCCTATTGCTATTATTACACTCTATACACACGTTATATATAAGTATCTACCATTGTGTTCACCATGGTGAACCACTAAGCTGGTATGGTAAGTGCAGTCAATAAAAGGTGGCCACACACACACAGTCAGAAGACGACGCCACCTCCCTCCCTCCCTCAGCATTATTCCTCCCACTATAGAGCACATCGCTAAATATCACCACAATCCTGCTATTATCAGAATCCTGGTCCGTTTTATGACAGTCAGGGGTCTTCTGTAATACTATCACTAAATAATAGCATGTACATATATATTTTGACATTTGTAGGTAATGCTGTGGTCACAAGCTGAACAGCGGTGCTGTGAGCTCATGCTGCGTGTGCCAGCCTTGGTGGCTCACTCAAAATTGAGGCTTTCCCACGATTTGGGAGAGAGGGATATGTTACCCACGATTATTTTTCTAGGTGGTGTCTGTTCACAAACTGGGTCGGCTTGACTATAACTGCCCCTATCCCTTGCAGGGGATTTAAAATTGTGCGCTAGACCCTCAATCGTCTATACAGTGGGGCCTCTATTTACGAGGTTCCATCAGGCAGTGATGATTTCTCTTGGGTACACTCTCTCCTACGTTTTGCCTGCACACTACTAGGATCTAATTGTGGTTAACTGCTAGTTTGTCTCATTAAAAATTTGTCTAGTGACACTTGTTTTCCCATCATTTTAACATTTATCTGTGGTGATGCATCACAGTGTCATTGAAAAGGTTAAGGAAACGGCCTATTGCAGCTTGATTTGGGTGAGTCGTTTCGGCAAAAGTTTACACTACTTCCTATGCTGCACACATTTTCTTAATTTTTGAGGAAGGGATAGTCTGTACTTCCTCTATGGTCATCTTCACATGTGTTTTCATATGTTGAACCTTACCACTGACTTTCTTGGGACCCACGGCATGATATATAATAATAAGTTTTATGTTCAAAAAGCAAAAAATCACAAAAAAAAAATTCTTATAAGCGTTATCTTCACTAAACGGGCGGCTCTAGTATATTGAGGCAGATTAACCTGCGCGACTGGGTACCATGCGTTCGGTCGACCCGATGTGTATCAACAAATATCTTTATTCGATGACACTATCATAAATCGAGTCGCATTTTCCGATCAAAGTTATATTGTAACTCAAAATTATCGTAAGTCGGGGTAATCGTAACTCGAAATTATCGTAAGTCGGGGTAATCGTAACTCGAAATTATCATAAGTCGAGGTGCCACTGTATATGTATTGCACGGTATCAGTAAAGTTACTCCCATTGTCTATATATGTAATGCATGGTTTAAGGGTTACCTTGAGGTTACCTTGAAGTGTTTCCGGGGCTTAGTGTCCCCGCGGCCCACTCATCGACCAGGCCTCCTCGTCCCTTGGAGGTGCTTATCTAGTTCTCTCTTGAACACTTTAGTCGGTCCCAGTAATTTAGATGTTTTACCGAGTGGATTCTAGCAGTAAAGGATCTCTGCACGCTCTGCAGGTCAGCAGTTTCTTCAGCTTTGAAAGGGGCTGTCATAGTGCAACTGTACTCCACTCTAGAGAGCACTAGTGTCTTGAAAAATATCATCATTCGTATAGCAACTATAGTGTGAAAGGTTCTTGTTATCCAACCTGTCATTTTTTTGCAGTTGTTCTGGCAACTTTATTGTGTTCTTTGAAGGTAAGGTCTTGCGACATGAGTACACCCAAATCCTATACATTGCCTTTTCGTTCTATGTTATGATTTGACTGAGTTTTTTGTACATGGTTTCCATTTTCATATTTTCATTTTTTTTCCATAGTGCATGAGCTGGAACTTATCTTCGTTAAACACCATATTATTTTCTGTAGCCCATAGACAGACCTGATTTACAACTGATTGGCGGTTTGCTGTGTCTTCTATTTTATCTACTCTCATGAAAATCCTAGTGTCTTCTGCAAAGGATGATACAGTACTATAGATTGTGTCCATGTCTATGTCCATTATGAGGATGAGAAAAAGTACTGGAGCAAGCACAGTCTCCTGGGGGACTGAGCTCTTCACAGTTGATGGACCGGATTATATTTTGTTGACTATTACACATTGGGTTCTGTTAGTCAGGAAATTGTAGATCCATCTGCCTATTTTTCCGGTAATGCCTTTTGAACGCATTTTATGTGCAATAACACCATGGTCCCATTTGTCAAAGGCTTTTGCGAAATCTGTGTAAATTACATCAGTGTTTTGTTTTCCATGGCATCTAATGCCACGTCATAGTGGTCCAGCAACTGTGATAGGCAAGAGCGCCCTGTTCTGAAACCATGTTGTCCGGGGTTATGGAGATGTTGTGATTCCATTTATTTTGTGATCTTACTTCTTATCACTCTCTGAAAGATTTTATTGATGTGCTATGTTAGTGCAATCACTTTTAGTTTGGTTTTATTCTTAAATTAACCCTAACAAAATAAATTAAAAACGGGTATGTATAGCTATAGTACACCCCTAGCTATACTTACTGCTAGGTGTACAGGGGTGTTTGGTAATAGTAAATGCTCCTACCAGCCCAGGATCATCACTACTCTCATATTTCATGTTCACCAGTGTTTATTTACTTAATAACTACTGGTATAATATCTTGCCATTATAAAACTACGTCTAATATCATAAAAGACATTTACTACAAGTTTCAAGCAGAGAATGCATATATAGCTAACACGAAGGACTCCTTCTTGATGAGACTTGCCAGCAAAAAATGTTTATAATAAAATCGATCTTCCCATTTGTGTAGTAGAGAAAAATTGTTATATCCAGTTTACATAAAGCTACGAGATCATTTTTAGCGCGATGGTGTTTACTTACAAAGATTTTCACACTTAAATGCCTACCTGAATACTGACGTAGCCGCTACGAAGATGCTAAGTAGAGAAACATTCTTAAGTACGTGCGTAACTGCTTCGTGAATCTGGCCCAGGGTACCTATTTTGCTGTTGGGTAAACAGACGAGACAGTTAAGAATTGATGCCCAGAAAATCCTCCCAGCCAGGATATGATCCCTGGACAAAGCCCTTGCGAAATACCAGGCAAACGCGTTTTTGCGTAATTCTTTATGTAAAAGGAATAGTAATAAAAACACAACATTAATCAGTGGGTTTTACTGCATTACTTTTTCATGGTACAAGCAAACACTAAGAGAGTTTTTTTTACAGAAATTAGTACTGATAAAAGGATATCCTGACTTCATTTGTTGTATTATCATACTGACATTTATAATTATCCAAGTAAGAAATCTCTATCCTAACTAAATCAGGTAGGTTATATTAGCCTGAATTAGGCAGTTATTTAAGTCTGACAGGCAGTGATATTAGCCTGATTCTGACCATAATATTACTTAATTATATCATAAAAAGTCAACATACACATTGTAACTACTGTACGAGTGAATTTGAATTTTTTATGGGCATACTGCATTTTTTTTTTTTTTTTAAATCCTGGAAAATCACAAATTTTCCTGAATTTTGGGGGTTTCTCTTCTCCCAAAATGAGGGGTTGACGAATCATCTTCTAGCTGGTGCAATCCATTTGATGATATTTTCACGTCTGTTGTTGGGTCCTTATCCATTATATGATGATTCATTATCAGTCGATCTTGAAGTATAGTCTACTTAGTGTTCCCAGATCCAACGCCAGTAAAATCTAGAAAAAAGATAGAATATAATAATAATACTGGAAAAAAATATATAATAAATATATAATTACAAATTAGAACAGTCCATATGTTATATTCTATTGTTTTAATACAGAATAAATAAACTTGGTTTAAAATTAATTAAAATACTAGTATTTAGTTTAACCCTTAGATCGCGCAATACATATATAGCTGATGGGAGTAACTTTATCGATACCGTGCAATATATCAATAGATGTTTGAGCGTCTATCCCTAGATTTTAAATGCCCCATGAGGGATAGGGGCAGCTATAGTCCAGCCATGACTGATAGTTAACAGACGCTACCTAGAAAAAAAATTGTGGGCAACATTCCTGAGTGTGAGAGCCTCAGTAGTGAGTGAGCCACCAAGGGTGGCGCATGCAGCATGAGCTCACAGCACCACTGTTCAGCTTTTGACCACAGCATCGCCTAAAAATGTCAAAATATATACGTACATGTTATTATTTAGCGATAATAGTATTACAGAAGACCCTTGACTGTGATATAACTAACCAGGATTCTGATAATAGCAGGAGTGTAGTGATATTTAGCGCTATGCTCCATGGTGAGAGGAGTAATGCTGAGGAAGGGAGGGAGGTGGCATCATCTTCTGACTGTGTGTGGCCACCTTTTATTGACTGGACTTACCAGGGAGCCGGTCGGCCGAGCGGACAGCACGCTGGACTTGTGATCCTGTGGTCCTGGGTTCGATCCCGGGCGCCAGCGAGAAACAATGGGCAGAGTTTCTTTTACCCTATGCCCCTGTTACCTAGCAGTAAATAGGTACCTGGGTGTTAGCTGTCACGGGCTGCTTCCTGGGGGTGGAGGCCTGGTCGAGGACCGGGCCGCGGGGACACTAAAAAGCCCCGAAATCATCTCAAGATAACCTCATGATAAGATAACCATACCAGCTTAGTGGTTCGCTATGTTGAACACAAATGTAGATACTTATATACTGAATAACATGTGTATAGAGTGAAATAATAACAATAGGAGTGTGTTGGGAGCTGCCATTATAGTGAGGGAGGTGTGTCGTTTGCATGACATGTCAAGTTGTTTACTGGTGGCCACAATGGTCTTTGGGCACCATACCAGCTTATTTGTACAGGAATGGTGAATAATGGTGGTGAATCCATAATGGTGGTATGGTGAATCTTTTATTATACTTACTGAAACGTGGTTAAAAGAGGATACTTCTCAACTCTTTAACATGCCAAACTACTCAGCAATTCACAACTGTCGACCAATTCAGTGAGGTGGTAGTACTGCTCTTTACTACCACCAAGAACTGACATACTTAAAAGTAATTAGAACTAGAGACTACTGTGGGGAGTATATCTTTGCTAGTTTCAGAGTCAAGGGTGCTGAGTCTATCCTGATTGTGGAATCAGAATCAGACAGTCTATAGAATTCCTAACACTGATGTGTCCGAATTCAACTCTAACCTTAGAAATCTAATACTAGTGTAGTGAGTTAATCTTATACTCGCTCCATTATCTCATTATCTTAATAGCATAACTATGTAAGTAAGTAATTATCAAAAGAAGGCACCAAACCGGGAAGGCTATGTAGCACCATCAAATGCGCAAAATAATCAGAGGGCGCTAAATATCACCAAGGATGCCAATACGAGAACAAAAACGCATAAGGCGAACGATATCAAAAGTATCCGAGTCACCAAGAATTCTATTGAGGGACAGGTGACCGCGAGGGGCGGTCGGAAAGCAAGACACACGCTCGTCCTGGAAGTCAGGACATTCAAGAAGGACATGCACGACCGTAAGAGGGACAATGCAACTAGGACAATAAGGAGCAGGGCGGCGCTCCATCAAGTCTCGCAGTCTCCGTGGTGTAGTGGTAAGACACTCGCCTGGCGTTCCGCGAGCGCTATGTCATGGGTTCGTATCCTGGCCGGGGAGGATTTACTGGGCGCAAATTCTTAACTGTAGCCTCTGTTTAACGCAACAGTAAAATGTGTACTTGGATGAAAAAACGATTCTTCGCGGCAGGGGATCGTATTCCAGGGACCATAGGATTAAGGACTTGCCCGAAACGCTACGCGTACTAGTGGCTGTACAAGAATGTAACAACTCTTGTATATATCTCAAAAAAAAAAAAAAAGTGACCATGGGTTAAGCGAGTATGGCCAATACGCAACCTCGCCAGAGCTGTTTCCACCGCCGGTTACGGTGGAAGGAGGACGGCCACGAGGAAACACAACATTTAAGAGTACGTAGTTTGTTACCAGTAACAGACAACTAAGAAGCCTGCCAACGGGTAAGGACTGAGGAATGGATAACCGGGTAAAAGTCGGAATACGGAATACCTTTCCGAGAGATGGGACAAGAGCGGACAGCTTCCTTGGCGGCAGCATCCGCACGCTCATTTAAAGACACACCAATATGGCTGGGAACCCAACAAAACTCAACCGACATAAATTTACTGTGAACAAGAAACAGCCAATGCTGGATCTCGACAACTACTGGATGAACCGGATTAAAGGACCCGAGAGCCATGAGGGCACTACGAGAGTCAACAACAACTACAAAGGAAGACTGACAATGAGAAAGCAGGAGACGAAGAGCATAGAGAATAGCATAAAGCTCCGCTGTAAAGATGCTAGTCTCCGGAGGTAAGTGACACATACAAGTGCGATCAGGAAAAACAACAGAGTAGCCAACACCGTTCGCAGACTTAGACCCATCGGTAAAGACAGAAACGGAGAGGGAGTGAGAAGAAAAGTGCTCAAGGAAAAGGCGTTTTAGAACCGTAGGAGGGGTAAAAGCTTTAGTGATACGGGTCAAGGATGTACAAAACCGCGGAAGAGGGACTCTCCACGGGGGCAAAGAAGGAATAACACGAGGAGAAACATTACAAATACGAATGGAAAGAGAGTCCTGTAGGCGAGATAACCGGACAAAAAGAGGGAGGTGGTGAAGAAGAACAGGAACTGCAGGAGGGGTAAAAGTTAAAGCACGACAGAGGCGAGAGGAAGGATGTTGTAAGGACTGCGCAAGATAGCGAAGACAGTAGCGATCACGGCGGTCTTGAAGAGACAGGAAGCCAGTGTCAACATACAAGCTAAGGACGGGAGTCGAACGAAAGGCACCAGAACTGAGGCGCAACCCTGTATGGTGCAAAGCATCAAGACGGCGAAGAGTAGAAGGAGAAGCAGACGAGTAAGCAGGGCAACCATAATCGAGCTTAGACAGGATGAGAGAGGAATGTAAAGCAAGGAGAGTGCGCCTATCTGCCCCCCAAGAATTATGGGACGAGACCCGAAGGAGGGTAAGGGCCTTAGAGCACTCAACACGGAGGTAAGAGATATGGGGAGACCAAGACAAACGAGTGTCAAGGAATAAGCCCAAAAGCTTTGCGGAATCTTTGTACTCAAGGGGATGACCATAAAGTGACAAAGAGGGACGAAGAACGACCCGTTTCCGCATAAAAGTCATGGCACAAGTCTTAGAAGTAGAGAACTTGAAGCCATGATCGGTAGCCCAAGACGACACGGCATCAATTGCAAGTTGAAGCCGGCGCTGAAGGAGAGGCGAATCATCACCCTGACAGCAAAGGGTAAGATCATCGACATAGAGAGCGGAGAAGACACCTGAAGGAACAGAGGAAAGAAGACCATTGAGGGCAACCAGAAAAAGAGTAGTGCTCAGAACACTACCCTGGGGCACACCTTCGTATTGCTGAAAAGAGGCAGAGAGAGAGCGGTACCAAGGCGTACCCGAAAGGAACGACGAGAGAGGAAGCTGCGAAGAAAGAGAGGGAGACGACCACGAAGGCCAAAAGAATGAAGTTGAGATAGAATATGATATCGGCAAGTGGTGTCGTAAGCCTTTTCCAGGTCAAAAAGGACGGCAACAATGGAGGTCTTCGCAGCAAAAGCAGTACGAATATAGACCTCCAAGTTCACCAGGACATCTGTCGTGCTGCGGCACTTGCGGAAACCAAATTGAGAAGGGGAGAGGAGTTGATGGTGTTCCAGGAACCACATCAGACGAACGTTAACCATACGTTCAAAGAGTTTGCAGACACAACTTGTGAGGGCAATAGGGCGAAAGTCCTTAGGGAAAGTACCCAGAGACCCCGGTTTGCGAACAGGGAGGACAACGGCATCGAGCCAGTCCTCAGGGACTGACAACGACTCCCAGATCTGATTATACAGACTCAGTAAATACTGAGACGTGCACGGAGGGAGATGGCGAAGCATCTCATAATGAATACCATCGGAGCCCACCGCCGTAGAACCGCAGAGGGCCAGGGCAGAACGAAGTTCAGAGAGAGAGAAGGGATCATTATAGGGAAGCTGAAGACGAGTGCAGAAATCTAAAGGACGAGACTCAAGGACAGGTTTACGAAGAAGGAAAGATTGGGGAAGATGAAGACCAGAGCTAACAGAAGAAAAGTGGGAACCCAGTACGGAAGCGGCCTGCAACGGGTCCGCCACAAGTGTATCATGGAGGTGAAGGACCGGTGAAACATCGGGAACGAACTTACCCGCTATCTTGCGGATACGCTTCCAGATCTGGGCCAGAGGAGTTTCGGATGTAATTGTTGAGACATAAGATGCCCAACATTCACGTTTAGCCGTACGGATGGCCCTACGGGCCACCGCACTCGCTTTCCGAAAGAAAAGAAAAGAATCGGTCGTCTGCCTACGGCGGTGCCTCTTCCAGGCTGCACGCTTACAGCGGACAGCCCGAGCACAGTCCGCATTCCACCAGGGAACGCACTTCCGTGGACCCCGAGAGGAAGAGCGAGGAATAGAGCGGAGGGCAGCGTTGAAGACAGTGTCATGAAAAAGGAGGAGAGCGCGAGAGAGAGGCAGAAGGGAGGGGTCAGAGAGAGCAGCACTGAGGGTAAATAGGGTCCAATCCACCTTAGCAAACAGCCACCTAGGGAAAGAGAGGGAAGGGCGAAAAGAGAAAAAGGAAACAAGGATGGGGAAATGATCACTTCCATGGAGGTCATCAAG